TAATTTTAGTAATCGGCAACAATTTTCATATATATTCTTTATTAATCCTTACTCCTGCAAATATGGCATTATAATACATTGTGACTACTGTATCACGATTTACAAGATACTCAGTATCTCTAAGAGGAATTTATGACAAAGCAAAATAGCTACAAATTCTTTTACACAAAGTTGGAAGGCAATCACAGAAAAAGTTAATATAAAATTATTTTTTTAAAAAATCCTACCCCCCTCAAACTGAGATTTTTCTAGAGAAACCTAAAACATTAAGTTCTAGTGTCTGATATACCCCAATTAATTAGCTGAAGACTATCTACAAGTAAACATGCTAAAGAATGATTTATAAAAAGAAAGCTTGTATTTTAAGACTGAGCTTGTTCAAACACTTCATAGGATCTCTTATAAAATATTCAACCAAAGCATTTAAACAAATACTGGGTCTTACCAAGATTATTGCCAAGCACCTTTATAAAATTTGTGAAAATTTCAAATATTTCAAAAATGCCTTTCCTATTTAAAGCCACTAATTTAAAATATTATTCATAGTATTAATACTCTGCACTTTTAGTAAGATATTGATAATATATTGTACTCAAATATAAATGAACAGAAAATAACAAACCAGCATCACAATAACAGTATTTAAGTAGATTTAATTATATAGCTTAATGAAGTGAAGCATTAAGTGCAACAGAAGTATTGTGATAACACTCTCATAGGAAAGTCCAAAATATATTGGCTTGTTCATTATTTCATGCAGGATGCAATGCAACAGCTTAAGTGTTGGATCTAATGTGTTATATGCAGTATTGTACTCACAACAGGTGAGATGCTGGTTACGATATATATTAAGCAAAACATGCATGTGGTTGAAAACTACAGAACAAAACATTAAAACATACTTAGTTCATTACTTGTTGAAACATACTTAATACTCTGATATGAACATCAAACAAGATATTTCATTAGCCTACAATACAACAAATCAAATACGGAGGGATAATATTTCAAGCTATTAATATTACTGCTACTACTAATCCATAAATCAGGAATCAGAAATATTGTGGTAATGGGGAGGCTCTGTTTAATAAAGGTCATTATAACTCCTAGCTTCACAGCTATAAGATGTAATATCCTCTCTGGTACCTCTATGATATGCCCATGCATTACTGTTCTTGTTGACAGTCTGTTGCCTTGGAAATATTTCATTATTTCAGTTTTTCCATTTGTAGACCCTTGGCCTTGTGATATGAAGGCCACCCTATTTCATATTTTCGATTATCATTTAAGCAATCTTCTGGAGCTATTTATATAAAAGCAAGTGTTAGACAATGCATATCATCATTTATCATTGCTGTGTTTAAGCATATACTGTAGAAAGAAATACCAAAAAATGAACAGAGCTTTGTTCCACTTACTTTACAACAGAAGCACAGCAATAGGCTTTACAAATCACTACAGACGTATCTTATGCATTACATTTGTGTCTATTTAAAGCACATTCCTATGCATATCTACTAAAAATGAGCCCCACTGAATTCAATGGTGATTACTTCCAGGTGATTGTGTATAAGATTCAGTTCCTAAAATATAACCAGAAAACTGTGTAACATTCAAAACTGTTTGTTAACACAATGTATTTTAACATGAAAAATACATTAAAGTCAAGCCCATCGGTTTTTTCTCCCCCAAAATAATAGTTTGAATATTAACTACAGCTACTAAACATCAAAGTTTTAAAGACTACCTTACCAACTACAGTCTGTTAGTATTTATAAAAGTTTAATATATTTGACTTCTATTCAACCATTATACTATTAATGTATAATAACTAAATCATAAGAATATTAAAAATCTGCCTGTCTTTTAAGCAAGCACTGCATGCTAGTTTTATTATCTGAAGAATATAATTTATTTCAATAAGATGTGCATCACTCATACATGTTTGCTCACATGTAAATCTGTCATTTCAATTCAAAAAGCGTGCACAAAATTGTTGCCTTAATCCCTATTACAATTTGCAGATTTAAAAAACAAGCCGAGAGTAGTTTTAATTAATACGGTACTAAAATATAAAGTGTACATTAAGAAAATATTGATCATTTAATCTATTGAAATATAATTATATTCTTCAAAGCACTATGAAGCAGCAACAGTTTGACATACCATGTCTTATTCAAGCCACTGAAATAATTCATGTATAATTTCAACATAAACTAGTTGGAGCACAATAAGCAGTGACAATAACTTAGGCCTCGGGGCATAAAACAATTTGGACACCAGGGCAAGCTTGGGTTATTGGTCTTTCATGAATTAAAGTTACCCCCACCACTACCCGTTGAAATTATTACTCATTCCACTCCCTACACAGGATAAAACTACTCTGATCCAACCTTTAAGATGACAGCATCAGAGCTGAACAAGAATATGTTATTAAAGGGCATTAAATTAAATACAGTATATCCTCCTACAACTTCAATCAGAATTTCAGACCAAGTGTTATTTAGTACAGCTCTCAAGTGAAGCAGAATAACAAATTGCACACTTTGATTTACCTTCTTCGAATGCCAAATGGAGACAGGTGATAAAGAAAGCACTCATGCACAGGCTATGAAGTTTCCCCTAGAAATTAATTCTATCTTCAAGATTCCTATCTCAGAAAAATTCCCAAAATGGCACACAAATATGCCTCTGCTGCAGAGATTACTGAAGCTGTCCCAGCAAACATACTTATTACTAATATAGTACTAGGCTCATAAAGAATATACAACTCTCTGGTTTGGAGCTGTGGTAAGGTAAAGACAGACACTGTATACCAGCAGTTATGTACAGTATTAGCTTTCTTTCCCTTTGAGATGTATAGCTTTACATACAGGATAACAGCACTCCTCTATAATGAATGGTAATGTACATACGCTTTTCAGTCACTGGAAGACACTGAAAGTTCATAGGAAAGGAGTAATAAAGTGACTTTAAATAAACCTAATTCCTAAACTCTATAAATATTGCCAATATTTCCAACCTGACTGTGCAAATGTTACTGGGAGTTGTGAAATGCAACAGTTTATACCATCAATGAAGCAATAAGTACAGGATGAACAAAAGTGAAATAGAGGTATTTGGATTGAGATACCTTACGGAAAACTGAATCACCTCAAATCCAAAATACCAGCTCTGTTGCTATAGATTACCCATGCAGATAAGGATTCTCTTGCAGGCTCACGCAAATTTAAATTCACTCCCTTCCTTCCTTCGAGATGCTGCTAAAAGCTGGTTGTTGCACTCTCTTAAGTATTTAAAAGCTACAGTACTTTTTCCTAATCTATCAGCCTTGTAATGTGTGGACATGTTATATGTTTTTTAAAAATAGATTTTAAAATAGGAAGTTTTGTATCTTAAGTAGCATGTGCATCAATTCTGAGTTATTCAACAGAATTAGCTATGCTAAAAGTGAGCACAAGGGATGACAAACACTGTATGCATACTGATCTTTCCCCATATGAAATTGAGCCTCATTTGGTAAACATCAGGTGAACTTTTTAAAGTATGCAACTTGTTAGCCTTCTTTACAATGGTGTTCCAGTCCAGCTATCATGTTCCTTAATCTCCATGCAATCTATATGCCATCACCAATTGTTTCCTATTATGTCCTACAAGTTTGATCCCATTCTCCTTATTAGCCATCCACTTTGGGATGGGAGACCTCCGGAGGATATTCAATCCTATCTGGATCAAAGGCTCTAAGGCAGAAGACTTCCTGATTCCTAACTCCACTTCTAGAAGGATTGAGTATAATTATCCATAAAGTACTTTGCACATGCTTAGATCAGGTGCCATAGGTATTAAGCCCTGGCAAATCCTATCTCAAATTAATTGACATTATACTGCAAGAAAGTTCAACTGCCTTGATAAGGAAACCCACATGTGTTTTTTAAAAGCTTTTTCACAGCTCAAACTGCTATTCCTTCACACTTCCATTGTTTCCAGTGGCTCCTCCAGAGGTTTCCGTTACTTTCAATGGGCCAGGCTACCATTTGTCTCTTCCTCAAGGGTTCCAGGTAGCATCCTTCTCTAAAGATGCACTTCAAGTTTGCCTAACGCGACAGTTGCAAGCATCTCACCAACTCTAGAACCGAACGGGAACAACAATAAAAAGTATATCGGATGGCGGGAGGGGAAGACGAAAGCAAGAAACCTTATAACGAGCCCACCGGCCCTACTTCCTTTCACAGCAAACTCTTTCTTATGACTAAGCTTCTCCCGGGCAATAAGTAAGTTCAGGGTTAAACCCGGACGATTCCAAAAGGGGACTGGGGGGGGAGAGAGAAAGGGAGGGTGGGTTATACACGCGAGGCCGGAGAGTTGTTGCTGAGCTTGAACTAAAACTTGCGCCTGCAGTTTGAGTGGAGTCCCAGCAAGCTCCTCTCCCTTCTTTCGGCCTAGCTGCACGAGCCCAGCCACTCTCTCCACTAAGCAACGCCGGGCCTGGTTAAACGCTGTTTTCCTCTCACGCGCTCCCCCGCCCCCTTTTGCTCCGTTCCAACCTGCCGTGGGTCCTCCCTCCCCCATTTGTCGAGACCCATCCAGCCGAAAAGTTGCCTCCCGGGAATTCCGCCCCACCCCCTCCCTCCCCCCCTCCCCACCCGTGCGCTCAGCCAGACACCGACGACTCCTCCGATGTGGGGAGGCACAGGCTCCCTCCTGATGCTGCTGCTGCTGCTGCTAAGGGGCGAGCCTAGCAAGTGTTGTGGATCCGGCAGCAGCAGTAGCAACAGCAGTAGTCGCCGCCGCCGCGAAACGTGCATGCACCACGAGAAACTCCCGAGACCCAGCAGCGCGAGCGGGTCCGTGGCCACCCCTCCCTCCGCTTTTCCCTTTCCCGGACATGGAAGCCAAGCAAACCAGACCCAAGGTGGCGAGCGGCGGCGGCGGTAGTGACGGCGGCGTCCCAGACCCAGGAAGGCACTGCTGCCTCGGGTTCAATAGAGAGAAAGTGTTACCGTTCTCGCCTCGAAGGATCCTGCTGAAAGCTTGGCTTGGTGGGCGCCATCTTCCTGGGCTTTTTTTTTTTTTCCCTTTCCTCTCTCCCTTACTTTTCCCCCTCCTTGTGTTGCTGTGTGGTGTTGTGTCTAGCGGCGGCAGCGGCGGCGGCGGCCCTGCTTAGACAGGCAGGAGGAGGAAAAGTAGTGAGGCCAATGCATTGCGGGCTCCCGCTCCCCGGCGCAGCAGTCCTGCCGCAGGTTGCTTCGCTTAGCTAGGCGCTGCTGCCGCTGCTGCTGCTCTGACCGCAGCCGTCCATAAGCCGAGGAGCGGAGAGAGCCTAGGCTCCGCTGCCTCCGAAGACATACCAAGCCCGGCGACGAGTGGCCGGCCGCAGCTGAGTGAGAAAGCGCGCAGCCCCGGTGGGCAGCCCGGCCATTGGCATCGCCCGGCAGGTGTGACTAGGCACACGGAGAGGGAGCCCGTGGGACTGGCTTTAAGCGCGAGGCCAAGCCATAAGCAAGGAAGTCAGAAGTCTCTGTTGTTCAGGTTCGGCTGCCGTGGAAGTGTTCGCGAGCATTTTCCAGCTGCTTCCCCAGCTCCGGCGCTCTGGCTCTGGTGTGCAAAGGGACAGGAAAGCCTCCGCTGCCGGCGCAACAACGCCACTCAGTTGCAGTTTCGCATACTTTCCTTCTCTGGAGTAGCAGAGCCAGCAGAGGAAGAGGGAGACAGAGAGGGAGGGAGGCAGACTAGGAAGCCGCAAGCACACGGTTGCTGCTGGGGGAAATTCCCAGCAAAAGCCAGCGTGTATTCGGGGAAGACCCGAATGCACGTGGGATAAAAGACAAAATTGGAGAACGTGTTTTTTTTCTAAGTGGTGTTAGTTTTGTGTGTTTGTACATACACAATCGGGGCACAGATTTGAGCGCCTGTGCGTCTATTAGCATACGTGCATGTCTTTATGTACACAACCTATGTGTCTCTATGGAAGAGCGACATCCTTCAGCTACACGAGCTGCACATGCGTCTGACTCTTGTCCTTCGTCCAACTACCGTATACAACTGAGTGGACGTGTGACTGCGCAAAAATGGGTGTAGAATTCTATCATCGGGACGTATTGCTACCGTATTTCTTCTGGCATATCGATAGCTCACCCTGTTGGAGAAAGTTCATTTTGTTCTTATAGACTCCCACTATACCGGATCATAAGTTAATGAAGAAATTTCTGATATAACAGGTGGGGGCGGGAAGAGTGGCTCTTCAGGATGACACAGGGGGAAAACCCTATTTTTTTAAAAAAAAAGATCAAATTTCAAACGTTTTCCTAAGAATATGAGTCGGTTCATCTTAAAAGTTGCTCCCTATCACTAAATTTGCTCAATCGCTTCAAGGGCTGGAGGGAGTAAGTAAGGTGCTGAAGCGGAATTTTGATAAAAAGTTAAGCGGAATGCAACAGATGCACGCGTGCGTAGGTATGCGAATAGCTGCATAAGGACTTTGCAAATGCGGAAAGTTTAGCTGGAGGGCGCAGTCAGTGACCCCAAAAATATGATCTCTGCCACTGGAGGCAGATAATTTGACCTGCCTTAAGTCCCTCAGGGCTCCGAAGAGCAGATACAGCCGACCTAAGAAGCTTCAATGCAGAACCTTACAGCAACCTCTTTGCTTCTAAGAACTGCCTTCTGATTTAGCAGGCAAAAAATGAATCAGTTGTAAGGATCTACACTCAAATGAAAAGAAGTAATTCTTATAAAATAGGAAGTCCCGAGTTTTTATCCAGGGAAATTCCATCAATGCTGTCTGGAGACAGGGCTGTAAAGCTCTGTTTTCTCCACATGCTCAAAACAATGAAGTTTAACAGGTGTCATCTGGTTTATCTACTGAGTGAAGGACTAGCAAAATCCTTCTGCTTAACTTTTGTATGGCAAAACATGGAAGAGGTGTTTGTTTAATGGATTAAGAAGAAAATGCCTTGCTCTTAAGTGCCCACCGTTTTGGGGAAACACGGTTTTCTATGCTTCTTAAAAATAAGAAAAATATGGCATATATTGATTGTAAGAGACAGTATACTAAGAAACTAAACTTGCAATTATGTTTCAGTTAAGCTGGCAATAGGATCCACTGTGTAAAATGAAGCTCATTCTCACAACAGTAACCATATGTGTTGTCTTTATTGGGATAAATAGCTACAGGTAAGAGGGTATTATATTTAATAATCCTCTTTATATTGCCAATTTATCAAATATATACTTATTTCTCCAATTTTGTATATCCTAATTAAAATACTAAAACCTGAGAACTGTACTTTTTTCTATACAGGATAAAATCTGAGAGCTCTTTTCTTATTTTTGTAAAAGTTTTACCACTTGAGCCTTGACTTTCCTTCTTTCTGCTCTCCTACCCAAATTATCTGGAAAGAATAAGGTGACAACTAACCATCCTAGTAATTTAAGAAACCTTTTACAACAGATAGTCCCAAAACAGAGAATAGAGAGCTTTTCACTAACTTTATTCTTTATATCCATTGTACCTCCTTAGAAAGAGTCTGTATGTTTATTTAAAATAGCACTGGTCTTCAATTCCAAACCTTCATCGGCTTTAAGAGTCCTCTGCTGTCTCCTGAAATAACTTCATGATTCTCACGCTATCTCAAAAGCACATAAAGCAAAGGATTATACATACATTGCTTGAAGAGTTTGCTAAACCAAACCATGTCCTGGGCACCAAATTTTTATCCGGACAGCTTTCTCATTCAAGCAAATATAGTTGCAGCCTGACTGGATTAAGTAAAGAAAAATGTGGTTTCCAAAAGTTTCTTGTCTAGTGAAATTTTAAATTTGAAAGTATTGGTTTATTTTTGTGTAAGTACTAGTTTATGCTTACATATATTTTGTTTCACATAACCTGTCTGGAGGAAATTGTAGAACATGAAAAAAAAGAAAAGAAGAAAAATGACATGTTGTGAAGCAGAATCAAATGAAAAACAAAAAAAAAATATTCTTACTTTTGGAAAAACAAAATGCCAATTAATTGTATACAATGTTGGTGCTGGAACTCTTCTGCAAAGTAATGATAGGGAAAGTAAATTTTAAAAAGCAAAGAAAATCTTGGACACTATGACTTGACTAACTTAATGTTAGATCCTTCCTAATATATATCTATAGTATTTGTTCAAAAGCAGTTAAATTCAAAGGGACTTGTTTGGGAAGAAGTATGTATAAAACTGTAATTTAAAGAAGCTGGCTGCCAAGACTCCGGTATTTGCATTAAAATGCATTTCTGATGAATACTCCCAAAGTGTTAAGTCACTTAGAATTTCCTGCTAGATTTCCCTGTAGTAACAGGTGACATGCTAATACCCTGGTAATACAAATGTGTAACTGCAAGGGTGAAGTGCCAAGTGAAAACTCTATCGTGCTCAATTGAAAATAAATCATCAATCACAATAGCGTGATCAATTATACCTCTTAGCTGCCATGCTGTGGGGTTTGCACAAGCCGCTGACATTGAGAAATTCCTACTTAGGAAGGAGAAACAGACAGGACCCCAAACTTTGCAGCAGAGAAAAAAAAGATAATCTGCCTTTGAGCAGGAGGCTATCTTACTTTTCCCTTCCCTATTGTTGTTTCCAAGATCAAGCAGCTCTAACATGTGTGATCGCGGCTTTTAAAACACCCTTTTGGATAAAGAGTTGCATTTCCCAAAGCATTCGACATTGAGATTTGGGGGGGTTGTTTTTGTTTTTTTTTAAAAAGATGAACACATAACGCGCAAACGGACATAAAAGGCAAGTGAAATTAGTCGAAAATATCAACACACCTCTCTAGCTTATGTACTCACCGTTGTTGGTAGGAAGTAATGCCCTGGACGTTTTGCGGATTCCCGTTAGCTGCGGTACTGGCTCTCCCCACGCCCGGGCCGGCTGGTACTCCCCCGGCCGCAGCTGCAGTCACCTGCACGCTGAAATCCGGGAAGATCCGGATCATTCCCGCGGCTCAGCACCCAGCGAGTGTCGGCGAAGAGGTACAGCAGCTCCTCTCCCTCCGGCGGCTGCAGCAGCAGAGCCAGCCACACTGCAATCCCATTAGTGAACAGCGGCCACTGGGAGGGAGGCACAGCGCTTTGATGTGAGCGGCTGGGCTGAGATTGAGTTGAGGGGGGGGGGCACTTAAAGTGAAGCGAGGGAACAGAGAAGGTATTTTACCAATTTGCAAACATACAACGCGCCAGGATTTGAAGAGAAGCGCGGAACTGGAAGGCTGCGAAAAAGGAGGCAAAATCAGGAAGGGGGAATTCTCTGGGTAGCCTAAACCCGGAATCCGAGGGGCGAAGGGACGGTGAGGGGGCCGCAATTACTTTAACGCGGCTGTGAAAATGATGGGCAGCAAATGTTGCCTCCTCCCCCCCCCACCTTCTACTCCGCCCCAACCACGCGGAGTCCGGGAGGACTTCTCGGTTTCTCAGAAACACTGCTGACCGCAGCTTAGTGGGCCACAATAAACTGCCGAGGTGGGGGGGGGAAGAAGGGAGAGAAGTGTGTGTGTATGGGGAGGGGGGGAGAGAATTCCCGGTTCCCAAAGGGGGAAAAAAGAGATGGGGAGGAGGCGGCGTGCTACAGGACAAGTTCTTGAGAACTAGCTTTCCTTCCCCTTCTGTCTCCCTCCCCCGCTTTTCCCTTTCTTGTATTCTTTTCTCTGTCTTCCCTTTTTTTTCTGAAGCACCGGTTTGCACCCAGAAGAAAAAACGCCGCTTTGTGCCGCGGTGGGGCTCGTTCTCTTCCAGAGGGAAGTGACTCTCCTGCCCTCCTAGTGTGCGGCGCGGTTACTGCTACTCAAACTTGGAAGGTAGGGTGTCTGCGCGCGCGGCTGGCTGGCTGCACGCACAGCTCTCCCTCGCTGCTCTAACAAATCGATTAAACCGTTGAGTGCAGTGCAAGAAAGCGGTTGCAAATGCATTATATGAAGCGGGAACAAACACAATAACGCGGGGAGGCGGCTCGGTGTGCAACCGCGAGCCAGCGAGCGAGCACGCACGCTGTTTAACTAAGGTTCTGGGGGAGCTGGTTGCAACGGCGTTCCTTAAGTTGGCTCTTTCAGGTGGGACTTTGTTGTCATTTTACAGGCACGGGAAGTTAAGCGATACATTAACAGCAGGGAATCTCTTCCACGTGTAGGGATTGTGGGTATTGCCAAGTACTTTGCGAGGTTAGGGGCTGCCGTTTCTTTGTGCGCAGGACGGCGTGCAAATTTACATTCCTATTCTCTCATCCTTTCTAGCTGCCCTCTGCAAATAACGGGGAAATGGGGGAAGGGGCTTGCAAGCCGCTTGGTGTGCCAGCGATGTAGGACTTTGTGAGTG